ATGATTTTGTGAATGCTTTTGAATGTTGTTAAAATTTGATACAAAAGATGTTGTATTTAATTTTTTAAATGACATTTGATAGGTTGGGTCTGTCGGTCTCCCGAAAAGGGTTAAAATTACGTACTTCGGCATGAGACCCAACATACCTTTTTGGATTGTGAGATGCTTTGAGATTGTTTGAGGCCTTTGTGGGCTGCCTTGACAAAAACAATAAAGCTACGGACACAGAAAATTTTGCACCGAAATTATGTACGGGCCTACGTGTACCCTGACTCACACCAACAGTCCAGACGTCTGATTTTTCTATAAATGTTTTTCTAGTGAACGGCTATCCATCAAATATGGATGGCCGGACGGGGGTCCATATACGACGGACGGGCGTCCCCATTTAAAGGACGCTCATTCACAAATAAAATAAAATAAAATATTTTTATAAACATTAGAGACGGCTGTTCATCCGTTATGGACGGCCGTCCCTTCATTTTGGACGGACGCCCGCAAATAAGGGACGTCCGTCCTTAACGAAAATATAAAAAAAAAAAAAAAAAAACTTTGGGGACGGTCGTCCCTTACGTTTGGATGAGCGTCCATAAATTTTGGATGGCTGTCCCTTATGTTTGGACAGGCGTCCATTAGGAATGGACGTCCATCCCTTACGTTTGAACAGACGTCCATTCGTCCATACTTTTAAAAAAAAAAAAATTCTAAACAAACTTCGCTCTTCTTCTTCCTCTTCATTCCCCATCTCCTCTCTTTTTCTTCGTCTTCATTCCCCATCTCCTCTCTTCTTCTTCGTCTTTGTTTTATGAGATAGGGGTGCCAAATCCAAAGGCTCCAAAGCCCAGAAAACTACAGAAGCAAAATAGGGAGAGCACAGACAGCTTTATGGGAAGACTGATGTCATCATGTGAACGGACATTCACAGCAGAGCTAATGACCGAAGCAAGGTGGTCGCGCTCAGCTCCCATAGCTTCTGCTGCCTCCACACACTGAGCAGCCACCAAGGTTGCCGTAGATGCCACAGTCGTATCCGTCTTGGCAGACTGCTCGTTCTTTCTTGAAGATGAAGACGCAGCAGTGGCTGCTGTAACGGCTGCTATGACAGCAGCCACTGCAGCCACTGAAACAGCAGCGTGGAGCTGCGCATTCTAGGCTCTGCAGCCACTGAAACAGCAGCGCGTTTCAGGAGAAGAAGAAAGAAGAAAGCAGAGCCCAGAATAAGCAGCTCCACGCTGCTGTCGACCCAGCCTGCAAAACGCAGTGAATACAAAATTGAAGCTTAAAGAAAATATATCATTATTAAGCACGTGTTGATATGTATATTGTTGCACTGTTTTTATGTTATACAAGTATACGACATTGTTGAGAATTGAGAATGAAACTTGACCCATATGAACACGTTTTAAAACCCCAGTAAGGCACCTCAGCTAATCAAGATTTCTCAATTTCGACAAAACTCCAGTTATCGTCCAACTGTAAAACGTCTTTTACTTGGTGCTGCAGTTTTGAGAAATTGGTTGTCAAACATTGCATGTTAATGTTTCTTCTTTTGCAGACTGGAGTTCCATACTTTCCTTCGGATTTTCCTGATTGTAATGCATATGCATCCTTTATGGCAACTGAAGCTGCTGCATCTGACCAAAAAGCTGGACGAAATTCTGCTAGTAAAGAGTCTTCTCTCACGAGAGACACGCTCAAAGTCCATAGTAAAGAGTCTTCATCATGTGAGAGAAGACTCTTTCAGTATATTCTCGAGTCTGAAGCTTGAGAGAAGGTAGAGTTTCAGTGGATGCTCGAGTCTGAAGCTTGAGAGAAGGTGGAGTTTCAGTATATACTCGAGTCTGAAGCTTGAGAGAAGGTAGAGTTTCAGTAGATGCTCGAATCTTTTGCATCTGCTGGTATTCTTTCAAACCAGCATCCCCATACTGTTACATACAAATATGAAAGTACAAGTTAATCTTAAAAATCTCCAGGCTGAGTATGTGCTTTTTGCACAGCCGTCCAAATTAACTGGACGCCAGTCCATAGAAATTTTTTTATTTTATTTTTTTATATTTACATTATGAACTGCCGTCCATTCCTTACGGACGCTCGTCCAAAATAAAGGAACAGCCATCCATATAGATGAACAGATGTCCCTAAATGTTTTTTAATTTAAAAAAAAAAATTGTTAATGGACGGGCGTCCATTAAAATATGAACGCTCGTCCCATATTTAGGGACAGCCGTCCATAACCTATGAACGGCCGTCCCTAATTTTTATAAGAATTTTTTATTCATGGACTGGCGTCCTTTAAATAAGGACGCTCGTCTGTAGTAAATGGATTCTCGTCCATATAATATGGACGGGAGTCCATGTAAGTGAACGGCTGTCCATATTTTATGGACGACCGTTCACTAGAAAAAAATAAAAATAACGTGAAACGTGTCTGATTTGTGGTGTGAATCGAAGGACACGTAAGCCGGTACAACATTTCGGTGCAAAAATCCCGGAATCCGTAGCATTTTTGTATCAATAATCTTCAACAAAAAATCATAAAAAAGATGCAATAACTTTTCCAAGAAATTTCCAATAGAAAATACATATGAAGCACTCATTCAATATTGCATACAGTACACAACACCCTGACTAAAAGAAAAATATACAATAAAGGCAAAGTTTAATGTAGAACTTAAAATAACATTACAGAAAGAAGTCTTTGTAAAAAAAAGATTTTATGTTCAATATGACAACCAGTGTTTAGATAATATATTTACCATATTCTATAGGAAGTTGTTAAGCTGGGATGATTAACTAGCTAACTGTCAATAGTCTCTGATTTAACGTCGCGGATGGTTTGCTTATCAATTGTTTGATCTTCTTTTCGAGAGTTGTTTATTCCATTATTATTTTTTAAGTTTTATATTTTAGAAAACTATTACAATTATATTCTTTAAATAAAAAGTTGATTATATAATCAGAAAATTACTAGAATTTAAATCAAACTAGAGATAAGAACCATTGTTAATAATTTTGTAAATACTATTATACCCATATCTGAGATAGAAGATGGGGGCTGAAGAGATCATTTCCCGGCTTTAAAACTTCTTCTGTTTAGTTGATTATTCTACTAGTATTCATCCCTTTTATTTTACTTTCTCCACTTTATCCTTCCTGAATCTGAATAGCACTACCAAATTATAACACGTTATCAACACGAAGAGCTTAACAAGTGTAACAGTGCACGCCTACTGAAAGTACATATTTTCACCTGTTTCTGCCTTTATGGTCGGATTTATTTATAATGTTAAATTCCGCCTCCATGGATAGATTTATTTATTACTGTTAAATTCCACTTTCATGGTTGGATTTATTTATTACTGTTAAATTCCGCCTTCATGGTCGGATTTATTTACTATTGTTAAATTCCGCCCCTGTGGTCAGATCTATTTACTATTGTTAAATTCCGCCTCTATGGTCAAATCTACTTATTATTGTTAAATTCTGCCTCAATGGTTAGATCTATTTATTATTGTTAAATTTCACCACTATGGTTGGATCTATTTATTATTATTGAATACTGCCTTCATGGACAGATCTATTTATTCTTGTTGAATACAACCTTTATAGTTGGATCTACTTTTATTATATTTTCCATATTATATTTGATAAATGAACTTGAAGTTCTAAATACTAATTACAAACATGAAGTTTGTAAAATAGAGACAAAAATTGGACTTGAAGTTCCATATCATAAAGATGAAGTTCTGTAACATCCTTACTAATGTATTTTTTTTTTTTTAAGGATGGACTTCAAAATTGAGACATCGATATCCAATAATGGTGGAGACATTTGTATAGTAGACAGTACAACAACGCACACCATCCTTCGGGATAGAAAATACTTCTCAGGTTTGACCTTTACTGAGGCTAAAATAAATATTATATTAGGATCTGCAAACATAATTGAGGGCTCCAAAAGAGCAACACTTGTGTTACCCCATGGAATTAAATTATGTATCCATGGTGCTTTATATTCTAGCAAATCCAGAAGAAATTTGTTGAGTTTCAAAGATATGCGACGTAATGGATACCACATTGAAACTTTAAGTGAAAAGGATGGAGAGTTTCTATGCATCACTGCTAATAGTTCATGCTAGAAGCATGTACTGGAGAAACTCCCTGCTTTCTCATCAGGGTTATATCACACATTCCTAAAGAATGTTGAATTATGTGTAGTTATGAACCAGAAGTTCATTGATCCTGAATCTTTTAAGATTTGACACGATTGTCTTGGTCCTCCAGGATCTACTATGATGTATAGGATCATAGAAAACTCACATGGGCACCCATTAAAGAACCTGAAGATTCTATCACCTAATAAGAGTGCTTGTATTGCTTGCTCACAAGGTAAATTGGCACTTAAGCCATCCATAACTAAAGTTGGTCTAGAATCCCCATCATTTTTACAAAGAATTCAAGGGGACATATGTGGACCTATTCATCTACCAAGTGGACCTTTCTACTGCTTTATGGTACTGATTGACGCATCGACACGATGGTCATATGTTTGTCTACTATTAACTTGTAATGTTGCCTTTGCTAGATTGTTAGCACAAATTATCAAATTATGGGCGCACTTTCCAGATTACCCAATTAAAGCAATCCGTCTGGATAATGCTAGTGAGTTTACCTCAAAGACATTTGATGACTATTATACAACAATGTGAATTGATATTGAGTACCCAATACCACATGTACATACCCCGAATGGTATGACAGAGTTATTTATAAAACATATCCAATTAATTGCAAGAACTTTGCTATTACGTACGCAATTACCGACTTCTGCCTGGGCTCATACTGTTTTACATGCTGCGGTGTTAATTCACCTAAGACCCACTGCATATCATCAATAATCTCTAATACAGCTTGTATTTGGACATCAGCCTAATACATCATATTTAAGAACTTTTGGTTGTGCTGTGCAAGTTCCAATTGCACCCTCTCAACGCACCAAAATGGGACCCCAACGTTGTTTGGGAATATATGTTGGCTATAACTCACCATTTATCATCAAATATCTTGAGCCCCTGACGGACGATCAGTTTACCACACGTTTTGCAGATTGCCATTTTGATGAGACAACATTCCCATCTTCAGGGAAAAAGGTGAAGCCTCATGAAGTAAGGCTTGAGCTTTCATGGAAAGTGAATTCTATGTCTCATTTAGATCCTTGCACATCTCAATCTGAAATTGAAGTGGAAAGAATAACACATTTGCAAAATATTGCCAACCAAATGCCTGATGCATTTACAGATGCAGTGGAAATAACAAGATCATATATTCCTGTTGTCAATACACTAACAAGGATTGATGTTACCAATGAACAATCCATATGGGTAGCGATAAATTCATCTGTTACACGCCAAAAGCATGGTAGGCCTATTGGAGGCAATGATACCGTTCCTAGGAAATGAAATGCACATAATCAAATAAGTGTCAATATTAACAATATTGGAATAATTGACAATTCCACATCTTCTAAACTATCTTCCACAAACTAACTCCAGAAGAGTTAACAACTTTGAAAGGACAGAAGCCTCAAAAGAGGAAGAAATCCCTGAAGGAATACAAGAACATAGAAATGAATAAATTTCTATAAACTATGCTCACTCTAGAGAAATGTGGAATTGTGAGACAATTATTGTTGATAAAATATTTTCAACATAGTAACTACTGAAATTATGAATGATGAGTGTGAGCCACGTTCTATTGATGAATGTCGAAAGAGATATGATTGGCCAAAATGGGAAGAGACAATTCAAGCAGAATTAACCTCACTAGCAAAACGTAATGTATTTGGACCTATAGTCCAAATGCTTGAAAACATGAAACCCATAGGATACAAGTGGATATTTACAAGGAAACGAAATGAGAAAAATGAGATTGCTAGGTATAAGGCTAGACTAGTGGCTCAAGGTTTCCTGTAGAGACCCAGAATTGACTTTGATGAGACGTATTCACCAGTAATGGATGCAATCGCGTTTCGATACTTGATTAGTTTATCAGTCTCAAAAGGACTTGATATGCGTCTCATGGATGTTGTCACTACGTATTTGTATGGTACACTAGATACTGATATCTATATGAAAATCCCTGAAGGATTCAAAGTGCCAGAAGCAAATAAAAGGAACATGTATTCAATAAAATTGCAAATATCGTTATATGGGTTGAAACAATCAGGACGAATGTGGTATAATTGTCTTAGTGAATATCTGATGAAGGAAGGATACGTCAATGACCCTATATGCCCGTGTGTCTTTATAAAAAGGTCAGAATCAAGATTTGCAATTGTGGCCATCTATGTCGATGACATGAACTTAATAGGGACTCTTGAAGAGGTCACAAAAGCTGTTGAGTACTTGAAAAGAGAATTCGAAATGAAGGATTTGGGGAAAACAAAGTATTGCCTCGACCTGCAGATCGAGCATTGTTCAGATGGAATTTTGCTCTATCAATCAAATTATACTGAAAAGATCCTTAAGCGATTTTATATGAATAAATCTCACCCCTTGAGTACCCCAATGGTAGTTCAGTCTCTTGATCCTAAAAGGGATCCATTTCGTCCTAAAGAAGATGACGAAAAGATACTTGTTCTTGAAGTACCATATCTCAATGCAATAGGTGCATTATTATATTTAGCACAATGTACGAGACCAGACATAGCATTTGCAATGAATTTGTTGGTAAGATTTAACTCTACACCAACTCGCCGACATTGGAATCGGATCAAACATGTCTTTCGTTACCTCAGTGGAATAAAAGACTTGGGGTTATTTTATCTAAGAAAGTTTGATAGTGATCCTAAATTAGTTGGCTATATAGATGCTAGGTACCTTTCTGATCCTCACAAAGCCCGCTCGCAAACGGGATATGTTTTCACTTATAATGGTATTACAATATCATGGCGCTCTACAAAACAAACATCGGTTGCCACTTCCTCCAACCATTCTGAGATTTTTGCACTTCACGAAGCCAGCCGAGAATGCGTATGTAAGATCTGTCATCCATCATATTGAAAGTACATGCAAATTGCCATGTACCTTAGATACTCCCACAATTATAAATGAAGACAATGCAGCATGTATTGCTCAAGTCAAGGGAGGATATATCAAAGGAGACAAAACCAAGCATATTTCACTGAAGTTCTTTTACACACACGAACTCTAACAAAATCAAGAGATTGATGTCAAACAAATACACTTCAGTGACAATCTTGCAGATTTATTCACTAAGGCCTTATCGACATCAACATTTGAAAAGTTAGTGTATAACATCGGTATGCGGTGGCTCAATAAGTTACTAAATTAATTCTACCATTATGAGGGGGAACATTGATCAAGAGGAGCATCGATTAGGGGGAGTTTTTAGAAAACTTTATTGTACTGGACATATGTGCACTGTACTCTTTTTTCCTTGATCAGGTTTTTGTGACAAAGTTTTTAATGAAGTAATATGAAGCACGTCCAACTTCATTGTAGAGTTGTATTTCTTTACTTAGGTTTTTTCCCACTGGGTTTTTCTTGAGTAAGGTTAAATACAGTTATTTGTAATGGTGGATGTCCAAGGTGAACCTCCACCATTTACGTAGTGGTGGAGGTAACCCGGTTAAAGTTGGGGGGGGGGGGGGGGGGGGGGGGTGTTGTTACTCATCCAAGATTTTAGAAAGCATATTATATCTCTCACAACTCTCACTTCTCTCACTTTCATCCCTTTTATTTTACTTTCTCCACTTTATCCTTCTTGAATTATTACTAAATAGCACACTAAATTGTAACACCCATCAATGTACGTAGCTTTATTTATGCCCTAATGCCCTTAGTTGAATTTTATTAAAGTTATCTTGAACAAGTGTGAAGAAAATTCCTTAAACCTTCGTTCGGGATAAAATGGTCTTTTCACTCATAATTAGTTAAAAAAGTGGGGAGTGAAAAGAAATAGAATAACATGGAGAAGATAACAAAAATGAGGGCATTCTTGTAATTGACTAAGGGACATAGATGGAATTTTTAGAAAGTGCAAGGGTGAAATGGGAATCTATATATATTATTTTATGATATTAAGAGTTGAAGAAGAGAAGCCCTAGCCACTCTGCCCTCCATTCAAGCCATTATGTACCCAAATTCTCCATCAAATTCTTCATTAATTTCCAAGGAAATTCTAGGATTTTGGCTAACTTTTGATAGATTTTCAATCCTAACCATCCAAAGGTAAGATTCTTGCACCAAGAATGAGATTAATTTTAAAGTTTTAATTCTATGGTTGTATATGCTTAGGGTTTGAGAAGGAGGGAATTCTACCAAAGAGAGATATAGTGTTGGAGTTGCTCAAATTCAAGGTAAGTAAACCTAATTGAACCTTAATTTGAGCAAGACTTTGTTGAATGAATTTTTTTGCATGTTTGTATGGATGGTATGAGAGAATTATGGCTGTTTTTTATGTTTATTGATGTATAAATTCTAGACATGAGAAGTAGTGTATGGTTATGTGATGATTTGGTGAAGTTGTGGACGATTTTGTGTTGAGATTTTTGGAGTGTAGAGAAGTGATAAATTCAGCCAGGTTTGATACTCAATTTAGTGAGTTTTTGGCTCACAATTTGTTGAATTAGAGAGTTGTGGAAGTGTAGCCAACATGGTAGTAGCATGTGCATATGAATTGTTTGATAAAAATCCTAAGAGAAAACAAGTTACCATGGTTGCCATGTCAAATCCATGACATTTGAGTGATTTTTGAGCACCTTACCCTCGAACTGGTGTTGAGAGCTAAACATAAAAGTTGTAGCCCTTTCTCTAAGCTTTAAAATGAGACCAATCATAGCAATCCGATATGTATAGCTCGAGATATGCTTCTTGAATAGACCTCCAGAATGACTACCTCAAAAGTACCCTCCAATTTATTAGTTATTTTTAGTCTAATAATCTATGATTGATTTCAAGTATGGGAATGTTGTTGGTAGAGAACTACTTCTATAATGATATCTTTATATGCCATAATGCATTCTCACATTCTCACATTTGCATTTAGAAAGATAGCAAAGAATGAACATATTTCCATGCACATACACATATATGAGAACATTAAAGAACAAAGAGAAAGAGAGTTTGGATGAATTGTAGAGAATTTCTTTTATGCATGTATATGCTTATATATGAAGAATTGTTGATGGAATGGATATGAATGATGGTTAGAATTTATCCATGAGAGTAGTGTTTGTGTACTTGATGTTTGATGAGAGTTTGGACGAATTATGGAAGAATTGGAGTAGAGATTAGGGAGTGTGCAATTTGGACAGGTTTGGTATTAATCTTGGCAGATTTTGTTCCAAATTTTGGTGGCTTAAAAAAGAATGTAGCCAATTTAGAGCTTAGATGTGCACATAAGTTGTTTGATGAAATGTCAAAGAGAAGTGCATGTATGTATGGTTATGTGTTATTTTGAGATGAGCTAGTAGATGGTAGAGAATGACATGTTCACATTCCATATTGCATTATTGCATCCAAACATGTGAATTAGAAAGAATAATAAGCATGAGCTCATATACAAGCTACATATCAATAGAGGCATTAAAGAGCAATAATAACATTAAAGTAAAGAACAAATAGAAAGAAATGAGAATTATTAAAGAAAAGAAATTGAATACTAATTTCCATAAGAAAGATAAAAGAAAAGAAGGTTGTTGCGATGGGGAACCCGTGAGTGACAAGAAGAAGAATATTCCCACATATACGCCGCCTTTAGTGAGCGGCCTAAGAAGAAGAAGAATTTGTACAGTCCGTAAGACTAGATGTGGATGAGGACTGTACCCAAAAGAATATTCCTACATGCACGCTGCCTTTAGTGAGCGGCCTAAGAAGAAGAAGAATTTGTACAGTCTATAAGACTGCATGTGGATGAGGACTGTACCCAAAAGAATATTCATAATGCATGCCGCCTTTAGTGAGTGGCCTAAGAAGAAGAAGAACTTGTACAGTCGTAAGAGTGCATGTAGACGAGGACTGTACTCACTCACATGGCCGGGTTCCGAATCTATGCCTCAACTGATCCGATCGAATAAGAAAAAAAAAAGAAAAGAATAAGAAAAGAAAAGAAAGAATAAGAAAGAAAAGAAAAGATAAGAAAAGAATAAGAAAAAAAAGAAGAGAATAAGAAAGAAAGAAGAGAATAGGAAAGAAATAACATAAAGAAAGAAAGAAACAATAGAAAGAAAAGAACAGAAAAAAGAAAGAAAACAATAGAAAAAGAAAGAAAGAAAGACTAGAAAAGAAAGAAAGAAACAAAGAAATACAGAAAAAGAAACAGAAACAGAATAGAAAATAGAAAGAAAATGCACATTCTATGCATTTGTGCATTTGCATCATACCTATGCATGATACATGCCTATTATCATGGGTAGTGAGAAATTAGAAATAGAGAA